GAAACATAGAAACAGAGCGAGTCAAACGGCCTCCTGAAATAAATTAAATTCAAAGTGCGAGGCACCACTGTAAAACCAAAGTAGTAAATGCTTCTGAACTCCTCCACCCAGTCCCCTATGAAGAACAGACAAGAGTACAAGAATGCAACCACTATCATAGTCTTGTACACAGAAAGCAATGAGACTAATCAAAAGAAGCCATCAAAGCCAGGAAGTTCAAATGTCCAAACCTGAAAGTTTAGCCATCTACCTTGCAGCTTTAGCACTGACGAGCAGGGCTTTGTTTTTGAGAATACATATATACATTTATCCAAGAAGAGAAACTACCTTCCTGAAATTACTTCTGGAGCAGCATAGTTAGGAGAACCACAGCTTGTTCTTAAAAATTCTCCATCTGACATCATATTTGAAAGGCCTGAAAATGCAAAAAGAATTTCAAATAAGGATGACCAGCCCCTGTTTTCTGGGATTATAATGCCTACCACACAAAAACCATGCCAATGGGACGCCACACATATACTTATTCAAAGAAATTGTTCTTATGAAGTTACAAATATAGTTAAACACAATTAAGATGACAAGTGAAATTAGTATTTTAAGAATAGTACCTAAATATGACAAAATCCAAGGAATTTGGGAGGGAAGTTTTAAATGGGTTGAACAGAGAATGGCACAGAATTATAAATTTTCCTACAATAAGTAACAGTTCTAAAAGCATGACTATAACCCAGGAGAGAGAACTTGCAGAGGGAATGTTCCTTAACATCAGTTCAATGAGTTTTATATTAATTATGACTTAGAATTGAATTAGAAAATTTACAGGTAGTTAACAGCAGCTTTATTTTATAGATAAAGGTAAAGGTTTCCCCATGACATTAAAGTCCAGTCATGTCTGACTCTAGGGGGCAGTGCTCATCTCTGTTTCCTAGCCGAGGCAGCCAGCGTTTGTCTGCAGAGTCTCCGTGGTCACGTGGCATGACTAAAAACCAAAGTGCATGGAACGCTGTTACCTTCCCACTGAAGTGGTACCTTTTTATCTACTTGCATTTGTATGCTTTTGAACTGCAAGGTTGGCAGGAGCTGGCCACATCCTAATTTTAAATCTTATAAATGATGTCTTATATATGAAATGATGTTTTTCCACAGGAGGTGGTTGAGACCCCATTGGTGAGGGTGTTCAAAGATAGGCTAGACATGCACATGGTAGACTTGTTGTGAGCGGAGCTGGCTGGAGCCGGGGGTCAGACTATATGGCCCAGGAGACCCCTTCTGACTTGCTCTGTTTCTATGTTTCTATATTCTTTGCAATACAGAAAAGAGGAGGGGGAAACAAAGATAGCATGGCGGTATCATTCAGTGCAAGTGTCTTTAAATGTATGGACCACCAATTAAATCCAAGGCCTTCACTACTTGTAAGCTGTGGGATGGATGTGTCTTTCACGTTTTTCTGTTTGAGAGGGTGGGGAAAGTTTCCATTTGTAGCTACACCATGTTCACCCATAATGCCATGCAGGTTGTTTAAACCATGTGTTGCTGGGCCATACGGGAAAGCAGTGTCTTCCATCGAACCATACCCATCGTATCTCTGTATCCACATTCAGCTACAACTCAGGAATGCCCCATTCCTGGATTGTTTGAGGACACAGACAATTGTTTCAGTATGTCCATATTTAGTGGTTGAGAGCCAGTGTGGTGTAGTGGTTAAGAGCATGGGACTGGGACTCAGAGGATCTGGGTTCTAGTCCCCGCTCGGCCATGGAGCCAAGTGGGTGACTTTGGGCCAGTCACAGACTCTCAGCCCAACCTACTTCACAGGATGGTTGTTGTGGGGATAAGATGGAGGAGAAGAATGATGTAAGCTGCCTTGAGCCTTTGTAGGAAAAAGGCAGGATATAAATCAATCAATCAATCAAATATTTATACACCACCGATTCTTTAAAAGGACAATCCACCAGACAGACTGATGCTTGCTCTCTCTGGTTCAGCCTCCCTCAACCTGGTGTCAAGGCATTTTGGACTTAAATTCCTATCAGCCCTGGTCCACATGACCAATAGTGAAGAATGCTGGGAGCTGTAGTTCAAACTATACAACCCAAGTTTCTCAATAATTAAGCACCTATTATTTAGCATAATCTACCTACTCTGTACAAAAACTAGAACAAGACTGAAATCTCCATCCACCTATTCTATGGCACACAAGGACACGTTAAAGTGAGAGCCAGTATGGTGTAGAGGTTAAGGGGAGCATGGGCCTGGGACTCAGGCAATCCAGGTTGATTTTGGGCAAGTCACAAACTCTCAGCCCAACCTACATCACAGGACTGTTGTTATATGATAATAAACTCCAGAGCAGGAGGAGCAGAACTATGTAAGCCATTCTGAATGCATTGTAAGAAAAAAGCAAAATATACATCTAATAAATAAACAGACTGGGAAAGGCTGTTCTAGTTTCTCCTGTATTATGTTTATACTCAATCAAGGTTTGGTCAAACCTGGCTTCCAAAGGGAAAAGATTAACTACCCAACCCCTATCCCTGGGATACAAGACAATTAGGCATTTGTGGCACTGAAGCTGTAGGTAGGAAGAGACTCTTCTGACCCCTGGTAGTTGGTGATACAGTCCAGTTTCCAGGCTGTTCCTTCCAGAGGGACGAGACCAAAGGAACAACAGATCGTCACAGAAGCTGACTTTTAGCAAGATGCCAACGCAAGGAAGCAGCCCTTACAGTGAGGCAGTGAAAACAGAGGCTGCAGTTGCATGCACACTTTCCTGGGAATGAGGCCTGCTGAATACACTGGGAGTTACTGCCGAATAAACAGGAATAGGATTGTACTGTTAAGGTTGTTGTCCTGTGTTGGTGTGAACTGTCCCCACAGCTTTAGCTATTGGGCAGTGGAGAAATGAAATAAATAATAAAAATTTGCAGGATTGTCTGGAAACTCTGCTGGAAATCAGGTGAAATTCACTACTGAATAACATGTGCAGGGTAGAAAATCCCCTTACATAAGCTTGTGGCATCAGCTTTGATCCAATATGAAAAAGATGGAGCAGAAACAAAGCTCACTTTTCACCCTAGGTGGTTTATTTACCAAGTTTCATGCTGAGCGTGTGTCCTTTTAAATCTAAAATAAATGTGTTGCATTTCAATGTGAACTGTTAGCAAAGATAAGTATACATTGCAGCGTTACATTTCACTCAACAACCTTTACTAGAATATCTTGTACTAAGTACTTTAAACATACAAAATGTGCACACTAATTGGATGTAGAAGCATTTCACCTCTGAGGCTCTTTGAAGGAAAAAGTAGCAAATGCATGCATTTAAAAATAGACTCCCAAAACACAGAACAGCAGCAATGCTGAGCTACATGTTTCCTTTACAGGTAAAATGTCAGGTGCCAGAAGAAAACACCTCTGTTCAGTAATGCAGTTCAGCACAAGTACCTGAAACTTCTCATTGCCTAAACAATCCAAGTACACCAAAAGTAAAGTTCCATTTCAAAGGAAACCTACCAAAATCGGCAATCTTGGCATTCATGTGTGCATCAAGCAGCACATTTTCAGGTTTCAGATCTCTATGGACTACCATGTGCCTGTGGCAATAATCCACACCAGAAAGGATTTGCTGGAACAGACGTCTACTTTCCTTTTCGTCAAGCTAACAAATGGGGATCAGGAGACAAAAAAGGAGTGTATTTTTTAAGCAAACATACTAAAAAACTTGAGCACTTCCAACACTGTAATAATAAAGCAAGATGAAATTTTGCAGCATTAGAAAATACTAAACATGAAGAAAAGGGGATGGGGAGAAGACTGATGGAATACAACACAGATGCAAACAGAATAAAAAATAAATAAAAGATCCTTCTTTTCCTACTAGTGGTATGGTAGGGCCTGAACTGAAAACTTTTATGTCTCCTAAAAATCAGCAGAGTAACCAGAATGCATGAATTAACATCAATGTTTCATGATGAAGGAAACAGCTTCTGAGATGGCTTGCTGCAGTAATTTGTAACCATAAAAGATCAACACTTTAAAAGGACAGCAACCACAAAGCACCTCAATAAAATTCTTTGAAAACCACTCTACTGCATTAGTAGTGCTGATTTGGAAATCTTCAATTTCCATTTTAAAGATATAATGCAGCTGCACATATCAATTGTTCTGATAGCAAAATTGTCAAGTCATGTAAAAGACTCATCCGCGGCTGCAAAAAGTAAAAGTTAGTATTTTTGAAAAGTTGAAGATTCTTACCCTTCCATTTTTACAGATGTAATCAAACAGTTCACCTCCTGAAACATATTCCATCACCATGAAAATGTCAGATGGAGTGCTGATAACCTGGTACCTGAGAAAGATAACATTATTTTACTCACTGTGTGCATGTAGAAACCTCAGATGAAGTAAAGCCAGTCTTGTAATTAAGGGCAACACATGGAAGAGCAGCCCAATCACGTCCATGTGCAGCTGGAAGCAAAACCTGAGTTGTGTGGGGCTTATTTCTCCAATAGGTACGTGAGGCTTTGGGTAGACCTCAGAGACAAAAGTTAGATCCAGCATCTTTCTTGTTGTTTGTTTTGTTTCCAATCAAATTTTGACCATGTCACATGAGGTGACATATTCAAAAAATCTGTGCTAGGTACCTGTAACACAGGCTCATTCAGTCTTCTGTCTCTCATGGCCATCTGAAAAGACACACTTGTACCATGCAGTTCTTAACGCACAGTTTAATGTGAACGCAGCCAGACAGGATTGTGGTCAGCCAGCCAGCTGAAAGTTGGCAAATGGCTGTGCAAGGTTCCTAATCCTTAGGTCAAGACAAACTGCACATCAAAACAAAGAACGGACGTCCTACAGTGAAATGGAACTGGTGCCTTCACTGAAGCCTAGAACTGGCAACCTTTGTTCCACTTATATGGCATGGAAAAGGACTGTCATTAAATTAAACTTTTCTTTTCCTACCTGTTATAGAAAAGCTGGGGCATTCATGAAGCACAGGATAGCATTTGATCAGTGAGTGAACATAAACTAATTTCACAGAAAAACATAATAGACAACAGGCTTATTCAAGTTCACTGTAAAAGCCAACAAGAAGTTCCTAAGATAAGCAGAAAATTAGAATCCAGCACTGCAAGTGACCATATAGTGTGGGTCATTGTTCCCCATACTTCTACTGCAACCTAACTGTCCTTGCTATCCCAGCATTATATTGTTGAAATGTTGTCCCAAGAACCAGTCCAAGCCTTGAGAACAGGGATAGAAACCTCCAGATATACCCTGGCATTGCTCCATCCAGCCATCAAGCTTCTTTTGCTGACATGTGCACCACTGATTGGATATAAGGCTGCATTTAAAATCCTACAGAGAACCGATAAGTTGCAATTATTTTGAGCTGTGCATTTTGCTGGAAGCAAGCATGTGAGTAGAAAACAAAAGTCTTGGTATTTGAAACTGCTGTTGAGCAATTCAGTCCTGCTTGAAATTGTAATAAGCACCTAGTCATTCCTGCCCAGTCTGCCTCTGGCATCATCCACAGAGGGAACATGGTCTCAGAGAATGTGCAACTTGGCCCTCAGGCTAAAAGGTTCTCCACCCCTGCTTGAGAAGGATATAGCTGGCATATTATAACTAGCCTAGGAAATGGCATAACATAATGAGTCAGTTAAGACGAAGCACAAGCCAAGATCAGGAACTCCACCTCCAACCATAAAGCATAAACACATAGTTACAGGCAATTTATACACCACATTTTCCATAAATATTGTATGCAAACCTGTTCACAAAGCAAGCAATATCCATAATTATAATATGCTGCAACATTACATTAACTCAACTGAAGGTCTGTTAAAGCACAACGAACATTTAAATGAGCAGAAAAGATACCAAGATATCAGTCGACAACATCCAAGACTGATGACAACATTATACTTATATTATGCAGCTCAGTAGATGGTTCTTACTTACTATTTAATTCCCTGCCTTTTTCCTGCAAGAAACCCAAGGCAAATTAAATAGCCATCCTCTTCTCCACTTCATTCTCACAACACCCCCGTGACAGGAGGTCAGGCTGAGAGTCAATGACTGGCCCAAAGTAATCCAGTGAGCTTCATGGTCAAGTGAGAACAAGAACTCAGGTCTGCAAAGTCCAGTTCAACACTCTCCCCACCAAAGCAAGCTGGCTTCAACAAGATACCTTGCCCATATCAAACTCCATATCAACACAAAAAGGACACGATGACCACAAAACAGCCCATTTTTAAATAGCAGAATGACACCTCTTGCCATGCTTCACCAGGGTGCCATTTGCTGAGCCGGAAAGAGGCACCTGCATCCTCATGGCAAGTCCCCCATCCCGGTCTGTCTCTTGGGAGCAGAGCACTAGGGGAGGCAAGCTGAAATACAGCATTAACCCCCAGTGGCCCAATACAAGCTGTTTCAAGTCCACTTAAAAGACCAGAAGGATCTCTCGCCATGGCTTCCAGCAGCAGCTCTTTCTAGTACTCTGTTAAGGTACTAATGGAAGAATTGGCCCATTTTACTTTCTATCAGTTTTCCAATCTGGTTCAGCCTATACTGTAATAATTGTAAGCCGTCCTGAGATGCCATGCATAAGGGACGGCATATAAGAATCTTAAATAATAAATACATGCACACATACATACTTTTTTAAAGCTTGATGAAAAGTTGTAAGCATTTTTGTGCACATGCCTCCCTAAGGGATGCATATCTGTGTGTTTCTTTCTTATATACATTGTTTGCAAGCAATCTGGCTAACATAATACATTTTTATCATTACGGTCCCTAATACAGATATTTAAAAATGGAGAACACCACTGGAGAAGTACGAATCATAAAGGATGACTGAATTTCTGTCTGCATAGTGTTTCAAAAGTGTAAACTTATGTGAATACTTCTCACTACCCATCCCTACCCCTCGGGCCAGAGTTTAAGCAAGGCAGGTAGAAACAGTCAAACCTCTATCATGCAACTGTTATGGCATTTTCTCAGTCAGGAAAAATACAAAGTAGTCCTTCAGGGCTGATGCTGAAGACCTGCAACAGCTACTAGATATGCAGGTAGTAAGTGGTGGAAGCAGAGGCGTTTTGCCAAGGAACAATATTCCCAAATAATCACATTTCATGCATTCAGTCTGGCTTTAGTTTTCTGTTGCCTTTTCCAAGCCTCACTCCATGCTTCATATTGTTCAGTCAACATTTTAAGTGCCTTCTGGTTCCATAGAAGTCATATTTAAGTTTCTTGCCATTATTGGTTAATAATACCACAAAGAAGCCAGAGAATAATACCCGAAAACCTGCCAATGTTCATTTTGGGAACCCTCTGTTTCTCAAAGAGAATCCAGCATTAGAGAGATTATTCTTGAGTAAAAACATCTGCAAAACTCACAGCTTAATTATGTGTGGATGCCGAAAAAGCTTCAGATTCTGGATCTCCCTGCGGATTTTCCCCACAACATCAAGGCTGCGAATCTTCTGTCTGTTCAAGATCTTCACTGCTACTTTGTGCCCAGTCAGCTCATGCTTTCCAACTGAGAGAGAGAGAGAGAGAGAGAGAGAGAGAGAGAGAGAGAGAGAGAGAGGGAGAGAGGATGAATCCAGTGCATTTATCCTAAACTATCTACCTATAGAGATAGTGTATGTGTTTCTCTCAATATAACTTCACATGAAGAAAGGAATGCAACACTAGATACTTTTACAGAAATCATTAAGCAATATACATAAGTAGTAAATAAATCAAACTTAGTGTTCATTTAAGAAGATGGCCTCTTTTTGCTAAGACATTCAAAGCTCTTTATAAGTTAACCCAAACAGAAATTGCAATAAATCAACATAAAACTTATCCTGGTGATCTTTTAATGGGTTTTCATGAGTTCATGGTGGGATGAAATATCCTGACCTGGGCTTCTTTTTCTGCTGTCCCTTAGGGCACATAGGCTTTACGAAGCCCATGGAAAAGCAAGGGGTTTGGTTGCCCGCTATGGTCTCTTCAGAAGCTGGTGTCATGAACTTAGTTGCTCCACAGCAGCAAAGGGCAAGGCAGAGTTACAACGTGTTAAAGTATTGTTGAACAGAAGTAACCAGGGAGAGAACACATTAAATGCCAACTAACCTCAAATTATTATAAAGAAAGAATTATAGGTTTCCTCTGCTTTTTTTCTAATGTATATATTTTAATTTTTATTTATGTGGATTTAATTTATTGTTGTAAGCCGCCCCGAGGCTTCAGCGAATGGGGCGGCATAAAAATGTTTTAATAACTAACTAAATAAATAAATAATACTTCTGATCAACTAGGCAGGGAAAACAGCCAATTCTTTTAGGATACTGATAAGCCAAAATGGCAGGCAATCATATATGTGGGAAGATGAGTCAGTAACAACCACCCCCATAAATTACCAACCACTGTGGACTAGTAACTTGCACTTATGTGTAAAGCTGCATTGAAGAAGTAATTCATGAAGTGGCAAGATGGTAATAGTGTGTGAAAACATAATGAAAAGAGAGTCACATGTCAGCCAACACTCTATATTGGAGATAGAGACAGAGGAAACAGGTCCCCCCCACCCCCAGCACAAGGAGATAACCCATGTAAAGCACCATCCTAAGCATGTTTACATAGGAAAACATGCCCTACAGCTCCTAGCATTCTCCAGCATGATGGCTAGGGAATGCTGGGAATTGTTGGGACTTTTCTGCCTAAGCAGGCACAAGACTGTACCCTTAGTCTCACTGTTCGCAGTAAAGAAATAAGTATTTTAGATGTTACCGCCTCCACAAACAGTAACAGGGAAGGTGATGTCATACTAAATGCACAATATATTTGCTCACTTTGGCACTTTTGTACCACCAGAAGAACGTGGTACAGATATCATACACTAACGGTTACAAGTTGCTCCTGTATGAGTTAAACTAGAGTGACAGACAAAATCCATGATAAAGAACCTCCAGATTCTTTGGTGTTTTTCCAATTAGTAGTCCTATGGCTGCACTGAAGATCAGGAAAGGGAATTAAGGGAGGTTGGGTGTTTAACTTTTGCCTTCCGATCTAAATAATTTGTCTAAATTGCTATTGGTTCTATGAGGTGAAACATACCAAAATCAATTGCCCTACGAAGCTTCTCAGATCTCAGAGTTGCCCCAGAGAACTACTAATGACTAAAAACTGGAAGATTCTGATTAAAGATCTTGTATATCATTTCTAGCCTGGTTTAAAATTACTTGACCGTTGGAAATATAGGACGCATCACAGAGAAGCCGCATTCCCATTAACTCTACAAATATTGCAACACACAGTTAAGTTTGCCTGTCATGGGCTTTGACAGTCCTTGCTAGACAAAATCTATGCTTATTGTGTTGGTTGCTATTAAGACACCTTCATTCTTAAGCTATGCTTTGCTTGAGCCTCTTTTTAGAACAGGAAAGTATAGTCCCATTAATTATAAATGGATGACTGCCACTATTCATTTTTAAAGCAAAAGGAGGAGATACAATTCTACCAGTATTCATTTTATGTAGAAGAGAAAAGCTTTATAAGTTGTATTACTGTTGAAAAGAAACCACCATGGGGAAGAACTTAGAAAAATGGTGTTATCACACAGTGTTTAAGGAAATGTAGATTTACAAATCCATTAACTCAAAATTATCTTATGTTCAGACAATAATTTTATATGGTTTTCCTCCAACATAAGAGATTAGAGAGACAACCGGGGGGGGGGGGGGGGGAGACAGACAGACAGAGAATGTAACTTCAAGGTCAACATGCTTGGGCAAATAAAGGTGTCCTGGGTAAGCGTGCTTGGGAAGTCTCATCCCGTCCACAACTGAGTCCAAAGACCAAATTCAATATTAGAAAAACTCTTGGACACATTCCAAAAAACTGTTCAGAAAACTTCAGTAATATTTAAATTCAAAATGTTATTATTACTTAAAGAGAGCAAAGAATGTCTATCTAAGAAAGTCAAACACATTCAAGAAAACTAAGAATTGTTTAATTATCATTAGTTGCTTTTTTAAAAAAATACCTGATAGGTATTATCATCAAAGATCAGATTTCTCACTACTGAAAAAAATCAATGTACTGAAAAGACAGAGGCTTGGTTTGCATGTCAGCAAGAAACCACAGTTGACAAATTGTAGGTTGTTGCAAACATAGCTGGAATGAGCAAAGACATGTGCTGGTTCCTTCATTTGTGCCTGCTACTGCTGCAATAACAACCCAGGGACTTCCTGTCCTTGCATTGTTTATAGGACATATGAACCTGGAACCATTGGGGGACAAGCAAAAATTCCTAAGAACGATGGCCGTGAGGAACATGCAGGTGAAAAGAGGGGAATAAGAAGAGGAACTTCACACAGCCACCTGCTGTCTCTCAGACCACTGTGCAAATGCTTTCCGCTGGAAAGTGACAGGAAAAGCCTCTCTGTGACCATTAATGACTCATCAGCTGATTTCCCAGTAAACGACACTGTGTTTCTGTGTGCAAACTGGCCTTCCGTCTGCTCTGCACGGCTCTCTGGTTTATGCTAGCGACTGTGTGGTGCAGTCCCGCTTGCAGACAAGATCACCCACTCCACAGTGCCAGATGCCCGAGATAACTCCAGCTGTTTCCTCTGCAAGCTCCCCTGCTGCAGTAATCAGTCACAGCAGGTCTCCTCATATGCCAACAAAAAAAATATCCACGTAAATGTAAGATATTACATTGAAAACCATGCTGTGTGGACACTAGTGAATGGAGTTGCAACTTCCAGGCTGTGTTTAAATGTACAAATGGGGTTCCTCAAAGTGTGTAAGTTACTCCCAAGTGCAACTGCAGAATTTCCAAGGGATTTTTTTCCTCATGCAAAACTGTTAATAAGCAAGCAAAAAATGCCATCTCTCTGTGCCTAGATACTTCGTGGACATTGGCAATGATGTCTCCACCAATGCAATTTCCTCCTAGAATGTCATCTAATCATCTAATGCTCCTGTTCCTGTTCTGCAGGATGTCTAGAAAAGCCAAAGATGCAAATTTGCCAAATTGCAGGCTGTTGATAATAAAAGGGAATACACCAAAGGAAATACAGTTACAAGAACCTCTTGTAAGAAAACAAGTCTGAAAGGACCTGACACAAAATTCACTAATGACATGTTGTTGGCTGCCTTCTCCTCTGCAACTGAATTGTAAAGTGCAAAGTGAGCTTGAAGAGTTTCTGCCAACTGCTCCGTTTCTGTGGGAAAGCAGGAGAATGGTAAATTTTCATCAAATCATCCATCGAGTTTTTTTCTGGTACAAAGGAAGGATTAAAAAAAAACCACAGCTCCTAAAAAATAAGACTGTAACATATTCATATGTGAACTATAAACTTCAGGCAGGTTTAATCAGCATAGCACGAGGGGCCCCAGTCTTCTTGGACCAGAAAGCACATTTGGAATTCTGAGGGCACTGCCTCAAAATGGCTTCTGTGGGAGGTGCGCCTGCCCATAATAAGTGGCTGTTGTGGTGGGCAGAGAAAGTGAAAAAACACCTGCTTCCCAGAAGACAAACTCATGAAACTAATGAGAGCTGAGTTCCAAAACACAAACCCACTCTTTTTTCTGCTCACTTTGCAATATGCCACCCTCCCATGTGCTTTTTGAATTAAAAATCTTAATGACATAAAAACCCAGAGGTTCAACAGGTCTGGTGGGCACTGAGAGAGCTAGTCAGTGGACTAAGCACAGGCTTCTGGAGACCCATCTTGCTTCGTGTTTGCTTTGTTGCTTAGTCCTGCTTGCCATTTCAGTAACTGATTGCTACATTCTCTTGTAATAATTTTATGTAGATCACTTTGAGATGTCTGCCTGAAAATTTGTATATACGGATATGATAAATGAATAAATCATCCAAGAAAGTACTAGTCCACAATTTCATGTTTACTAGGCTGCCTGGTCTTAAATGCCCATGTCACGTTTGGAGCACAGTACTATCTTAAAGTTTACAAATACTTTCGAGACCGCTTACCTGGAGGCTTTTCTTATTCATCCTAGCTGACCACGTATGTATGATCCAATATTAAGTGACTTTGAGTAGACTAAATCTGGATTAAGAGAGGCAAGACCAGAGATTTTCCATCTGTGGGGGACTGAATGGCAGTTTCCAATCTTCAATGGTACAGAAACTCTATAATTAAATGGGAGAGGAAGTCTGCTCTTGGACAGTGTTCCCATTACTCCCAGCTATCATGCCCCATAAAGCACATGAATAAAGCCTGGTTTTGATACAGTTGGGAGTATGTTTAACCTGGCAAACAGCCTGCATAACAAAGCCCTGTTTCAACAAAAGTTAAAAAGCTATGGAGAACAACTAGAAGAGAAAACAGTAATATTAGAGCACAAGTATTGTTTCTCAAAACAAAGCACGGGCAGGATCTGATTCAAGATATACAAAATAGGGCAGTACTGACAACTCGGGTCAAAGTAGTAGCCTTTCTAAGAGCAGGCTTTGCTCTGTTATAAAACATAAAGCATACAACCCAGCATGCTATAAATGAGGAGAGTAAGGGCCCTCTGAGAGCAAAAAGAAAGAAGGGTGGGGGAGAGAAAGGAACCCAGTGGGAATTTTTATACCAGGTTTATAACCTTTTCTGATGCAACCACCTGGTGCACTATATTATTGCATACACACACAAAAACCAATCAAAACCACCATTATCTTTAGCATTCTAACTCCCTGTAAGGCATGGTTCACACAGAGCATCAACCCAGGGTTTTTTCTAAGTCCCTGGGCTGTTTGTTTCCCTTCTTGTTGGCCCACTCCTTCCCTGTATCGCAACTGTCTTCGTAACACTGCAGTACAGCATGGAAAGACTCCGGGATCTTTGATGGCACTTGCCTGCTGCCTCTGAACCTTGACAAAGCCTCCCATGAAGATCCCATTATTATGGGATTACACATTACTCACAGTCTGAACAACTCACAATTGACAACCCAACAAGGTCCTGGGTTCTCTTCACGGGTTGGTCTTGGTTAAAAACCCACAGTTCCATTTAATGACAACCCATAACCTAACCATGCAACTTTTAAAAATCCTTATTCCTTAACATTCAATAAAGGTAGCACTACATAGGGAGGACATTCCAAAGCTGTAATAGAAGGGCACCATCACACACCTCTCTAAACCATCCTACAAACTGGAATATAGAAGAAAACCCTTAGAATATATATAAAGATCTATTTCTCCGACAACTAAGAAAAAATGTGGAGAGATTATAAGGGCAATTAAATAATCAGATTTATACCTTCTGGCCCACTGGTTTCTAAGCTCATTTTATAATTTCAAGCTCTTAGAGACAGAAAAACAAGGACTCCAAATTTCTGCATAAGACTGTGGTTACACACACACACATGCACACACACACAGAGAGAGACAAGACAGACAGAAGAACAAGCCCCAACTGAATAGAAGGAAGGCCAAGAGTACTTTGCAGCTTGCTTGAGCTGGATTGTCCTATTCTCCATGGGGCCACCTACCAACATCAGTCCTGTGGGAAGGATTTTAGAAGAAATAAAGGCAGGTGCATACACCTCAGAGCCCATTTCAGTTGGACTTGTCTGCCTGCCCCTGCCCCCCATCTGCCTACAGAAACGATTCCAATCACATTTTAAACATAAATATTAATCACTGCAATACTATTAATGATTATATGGAAGGATTCAATCCTGAAAAGTGAGATATAAATGACTGTAATAAACAACACACACACACAGTGCAGCTTGCTTCCATAGAAATATGCAAAGGATCAGGCTGCATGCGAAAGTCCCAGCGGAGGACATTATACACACATCAGGGGATCACCACTGCACAGGACAGAGGGCAAAAATGGCCTGCTTCCACATTCCCAGGGGCCACTCCATCCTTCAGCTACAAGTCCAGGAAGCAGATAATCCAACAGATTCACAAATGGTAAGACTTTAATAACACTGGCATAACCAACTTTGCAAATTCACAGGTACTTTACATGGGCAGCCTGACATGGAATCAAGAGAACTAACTGCTCCTCCTAAAGGCTCCATTCAACAAGTCCTTTGTCTTACTAGCTGGACCCAGGGACTCACTGTTCTTTATTCTTAAAAAGTAAAACTGAGCAAAAACAATTGCAATGACAGCTTGATTAAAATCTGATAGGAATGCAGAGGGGTGGGAAATATGCTAGATGGCCTGCAGGCTCCAAATTAGCCATCTGCAATACAGTTCACCTAAAGATAATGGCAACAGTCTGGGGTACTTAACAACAAACAAAATTATTCTGAAATAAGCCCAAGAATACTGGACTCCAAAGGAAAGCTATCTCACTTTAAAGTAAAAAGAGCAGATTTCTGGCTATGTCTCAAGAAAGCTAAATCACAAACTCATATTGATTCTACTTGCTAATAAACAGAGGTCAACAAACATAAGACACATGGCCTCATAGGACAAGAAACTCTCAGGTACTTGATTGTCTGCAGTGCTTCTAGAGAATCAGTATTGCCCCCAAAGCACTGAAATATTTGCTGAGCTCTCATTAACAGAGGCTCGGTTGACAGTGAAACCAAGGACTGAATAAGAGGGTTCTGCAGCATGGAATAAAATTGTATTCCTTGCCAAACAGTGGGTTCTTGTTTGCAACACAATATAGTTCACCCAATAGAAATTCCGCTGCAATTTCCTGTGAAGATGACACAGGAAAAGAACAAAGCATCTGCTGCATGCTGTCCAAATATTCACAGCATCATTCTGACTGCAACTGCTGAAGTCAAAAAAACAAAATGCTTCAATGCTCTACTGGAAGAGGAAAGGTAGCAAGGTTTTATATGATCACACAGACACACACCAGCAAGTTCCCACTTCAACACTTGCCTACATTTCACAGATGTCCCCACAGCAACTTTCTGTACACAAGGGTACTAGCAACTTGTCTCTGACTCACTTATCACACTGCCACTCCCCTTACACCAATTCAGCTTTGCCAGTATTAGTCAGACATGCTGGAAGAACATTAGAAATTGGCACTTTGATTTGTACATCTAGTGATTCATCCTATTCAAAATCCTGTTTCAGACTGCAGCAAACACAACAGCAGATGCTTCATCTGCGTCTTAAACTTGGCCACAGAGCAATTTCAGGAAGGGAGACTATTTCTCCACCAAGGTTTCTGTTAACAGCCTATTTCATCTTTTTTTTTCCTTTTGAATGACTAGACAGTCACACTGCAAACACCTTCTTCTGATTGTTTCTAAATGAGACTGCTAATTATATGTCTCATTCATGGTTTCTCAAAGCAATCTTATCACAAAAACATATGGATACCCTTTTAATAACTTCATGAAAGGCTGGAGACACAACGGCATTTTGGAACTCAAGTCTTCAATTGTATGCACACTTTACTGGAAATAAGTACCACTGAAATCTGTGGCACTTCTAAACAAATTTACAGAGGAGGCTCAAGTTGGAAGGCGAACACTTCTGCTTTGTTGGCCAGAGTAACTGGAGCATGTTACAGTCCGACAGCAACCCAACATGCATACAAAGTGCTGAATGAGAACGTAGGGGAGAAAACTGGAATAGGACTTCCATTTTACATTCAGCTTTCATAGTGAGACCTAATTCATCATCTTTAAGGAAGCTTAGTTAAGGTCTTACATGGTCCTTTGGACTACCATACTTCATTAATTTCTAGCCTAGGGTAACATACTTAAGACAGTGAGAACAGAGAATCCTAAGAATTGGAAGGGAGCATTTAACGCATGTACTAGTTTCTTAGCACTGTGTCAATGATAAAAGGTCCCACAGTAGCACATGGGTCCAAGCTAGGCACAGCTATGCTACTGATTTGGTCAATGTGTTCTCATGAGTAAGCTATACAAAATGTTGTCCAGCAGCTAATGTTGGAAAGCCAGCTAATGCTCAGTTGCAAACCAGTTCAAAGTTTATGGTTAGTCATGTGATTTATATACTGATAAAGAGCAACTACTAAGTGTTGAATGTTCTTGGTGCAATTTAGTAACAGCAAGCTGTGTTCTTAACAGTCATTTATTTCTACTAGCAAAAACTGAACTTCCTGCCTTTAAATCAAGAAGCCCATTAAGTCATGTCCACAAGTACCTGGCCCAGGTATCTGCAGCATACTACTTTTAAGACAAGTAATGAGGAAGATCTGAACCCAGAAATGTAGAGTCTCAAATCAAAGTGCAAATTCAAGAAGTACCTGGTTATAACACAAATAATCAGGGGAGGAATGACAAATGCCCTCTGAGAACCTTGGGACAAAAGAGTATTGAGTGAATATGTAAGAGACACAGCCCCTTCCTCTGATTCATGGAATTCAAGGGGCTTCAATCAGTATGAGCCCTGAGAAAGAACTGTGATCCCACATATACCTGCATACAAGACACTCAAGAAGGAAGCAACAAAGTCAATTTTACCAAGACAGCACAGAATTACTTCAGTGGTGCAGTTCACGTTTAAGAGTCAAAATGGTGGTCTGGGACAATGCACCATGTACATATACACTCCACTCCATCCTCAATTCCAGCTCTCCCGCCTTATACACCATGGCTTATGGCCAGAGTATAGGAACTCAGAGCTGGGCAGCACCCTTGCCCCTGGCCCTATCACCTCTCTCCTAATCAGATCACTAGGCTAGTATTTCTAATACTCTGACCCTACCTCTTCTGCCTTTGGGCCACCCTTCCATTCAGCCTTGTCCATCCCTGAAATGAGGGCCCCAAGAGCTTCTCCAAAATGGAATCTGGGTCTCAGGTTGAAAGAGGTTCTGCACCCTTGGCTGATCATTTACCAGACTGAGATGCAATGGCATTTCGCCTTAACTAGGAAGTGAGGGAGGGAATTACAGCATGTATAATCATGGTCTTACACATGGATAGTAAAATCGGTTTTCTACTGTAGCACTACAGCAAAAGAATAAGTTTCTAGAGAAGGTGTAGCAGACCATAAAGCTATGGGAATGTGGAAGTTAAAAAAACACCTAATTAAACTCAGCAGGTTTTAACTGCACAGCAACCTTGACTTAATTATTTTAATGTGTGCCAACTGTTTATGATGCTGGATTATTTAGAGATTTCTATATTACTGTTTACATAGCACATCAAGGCCAATATCTGTAGGAAAGCAATGGGAAAAAATATAAACAAAATCATGCCTAAACAGATGAAATTAAATGTTTCTTGCCCATCTACCACAACCTTTAAGATGCCATGACAAATCTTTGCTTCCTTTTGTGAAAGCAGTGAGATTTGCCTCTAAGTAAACATACTTAAGATTGGGGTGCCAAATGCAGACGACCATAAACATGCCTCCAATTATGATTTTAAGGGGAAGTGGGCATACAAGAAATAAGAGAGAAGCAAATTCCTCCCCCACCACTGAATCTCAGCTTTCCATTAAAAAAAAAAGTTTTAGGAACACCATGAGTTTGAGATTCTACACAAATGCATAAAACACTTTGGTAAAACGTTCAGTTAGTCATTCTTTGGCAAGAGAATTCAAATTGTTGATTATCACAGCAAAGCTTTTCAGACAGTGAGCAGGACAACCCTGATCCCTACCTAAACATGTATACTGCTGTTCTCACCTCCTTGTTTTAACAAATTACTTGCAAGATACAGACCTCGCCAGAAATGTGAATTGGGAAGAGGGAGGGAGAGACAGAGAGAGAAAGACTAGGCAGCCCTGACTGGTTGAAACTGGATGAGGAAAGGAAACTTAGCCCTGGCTAGAAAGCTGCAAGGTGACAGCCACAGGGAGAGTCTGAAGGTGAGTTTGCAAGTCTACTTACTGTTTTCCTGCATTCATTAATCTGAAATAACAGATGCACAATCCCACACAGCCACACTCACAGTCACCAAAGCAACAACTGTATGCACACTTACTTGGAAGTCAGACACAGTGAACTAAGTAGGGGTAAACTAAGTGGGTGTACAACATGGATTGGCTTGTACACTTCAAGCCTGCAGTTCTGAAACACTTTCTAAGGAGTAAAACCTACTGAATGCAGTGGGGCTTGCATTTAACAAACAAGCTTAGGATGTGGGTGTAAGGATGCAGATAAAATTTATATACTGCCCTCAGAGAAAAGACTCAACGGCCTGAGGGTGTCTTAATTTCGCTTAAAGGACTGTAACACATACTGCATAACACATTAAAGCAATGAACCTATACCGATTTACTTGGCAACAAACCCCGCTGAAACCGATTGAGCTTATTTTTGAGTAAATATAAAACCCATGGACAGCCATGCTTGCTGATGTTGGGGAGGGAGGAGAGATCCAAAATCCATTTAGATAAGTGATAACATTACACGAAGGGGAAATCTGGACTGCTGAATAAATTGGTGGGTT